ACCACGAGCTTCCAGGAAATGATTTTAAACAAATCTCCACCCTTTGTGCAACGGTGTGGGATACAGATTGCATCATCTGCGCTTGGACATTCCGTGTGAAAAAGGGGGGACGGCTCCCAAGCAGCTCACCAGCGTGGGAGGAAGAGCAGACCACACGCTGGGAAAACCTTCCCGCTCCTGTGACCATTACAAAGGCTCGAGACTTCCCAAAGCTACTTCCTCAGTATTTCTGGAGCAAATTCCTCTGTGTAATACGAGTATGATAAACAGAGCCAGTAAAAGACTTCGCTGCAGTCTCATGGGTCCCAGTGTAAAAATGTGCCTATAAACTCTCAGAGACACGGGCCGTGCGGAGCAGCTGAGGTTGTACTTTAAAGACAGCGGCACGTGATTTGGGAAAACTCACGCTGGAGCAGCAAGCGCATCGCTGGAGGGAATGAAAGAGCCCAGAGATGCGGTCGGGGCTCCAGAACACAGATTGGTCCGGCCCGTGTGGCTCAGTGGTTGAACGTCGACCCTGTACCAAGAGGTTGCCGGTTGGATTCCTGGTCAGAGCACGTGCCCAGGTTGTGGGCCCGATCCCCAGTGGGGGGCATGCAGGAGGCGGCCCATCGATGTTCTCTCTCATCGATGTTTCCATCTCTCTCACCCTCTCCCTTCCTCTCTCTCTAAAATCAATAAAGAAAAAAATTTTTTAAAAAAGAAAGACATATTGTAAAGAAAGTTAGTCAGCAGAGGAAAACGATAAAACAGCAGCTTCCGAACAAGCAGGTGTGTGTGCGCGCGTGTGTGTGCGTGCGTGTGTGTGCCGCATGCCGCATGTGTGTGCTACGGATGTGAGGTCTGAACAGAAAGGACCCACAGGTATCAGACGCATTCCCAGCTGTATCACTTTCTGTGCCTACAACTCACTGGACTGGTATCAGTAGGAAGGTTAATGTTTAAGCGTCCGCCCCATCGCTACTCCCATGCGTCCTGTGAAACTGGCGTCAAGTAGGAAGGAGCCGGGCACGGCACCAGCTGCCCCAACACACAGGCCATTCTGGGTCCAGTTTCACAGTCTGTTCCTCGAGCCCGAGAGCTATGTAGGCAGCTGGTCCCGCTTGTGGCCCCTCAGGCCTGGGGTGGGAACACCCACTCACCTGGGTCCCGCCACGCCCTGCCACCACCAGGCATGCCCCCTGGGTGCGGCCAGCATGCCCCCTGGGTGCGGCCAGCATGCCCCCTGGGTGTGGCCAGCAGGCCCCCTGGGTGCGGCCAGCATGCCCCCTGGGTGTGGCCAGCAGGCCCCCTGGGTGCGGCCAGCATGCCCCCTGGGTGTGGCCAGCAGGCCCCCTGGGTGTGGCCAGCAGGCCCCCTGGGCGTGGCCAGCCCAAGAGAGACCTCAGGAGGGAACCTTGGCCCTGGGGCCCCAGGCCCTGGGAGAGAAGGAGCTACGAAGAGTAAATGAGCACAGTGAGTGGTGCTGGAATCACAGAGGAAGGGTTGGCACTCACTGTGTCCCTGGCATTATTCATGGCCGGGTGCCCAGCACATAAATCTTCCCCATGACTCACTCCGCTGTCCACTCCTTAAAGTCAAGGCCTGGGGCTAGGAGTCTGCACCTCGCGCAGACCGGCCTGCCGGGGTGGGGGTGGGGGGACCCGGTCCGCTCGCCCCTTCTGCTTCTCTGCTTTACCAGCGAGGCCAGGAGAGGACCAACCCGGCAGCTCCCGTTCCGTCCTTCCCGCTGACGCCCTCCGGGCTCGGCCCACAGTCAGGGGAAGCTCCTCGGGGTAAAGCCGCACCCAGCCCAGACGGTGGTGCCGCCCGTCAGGGCCACGGTCTCGTGCTCGGACATCTTTCAGGAATGTCGAGAGAAGGCCAAGGCAGGATGCAGACGTTTCTGGTGTGCCTGGTCTTGACATTGTCAGCCCCAGAATCTCACCATAAATGGCTGATACACTTGCTTTGTAACAGTATGTTGGCCCGGCCGGTGTGGCTCAGTGGATGGAGTGTCGTCCCATAGACTGAGGGGTCCCGGTTTGATTCCCGGTCAGGGCACAGGCCCAGGTTGTGGGCTCGATCCCCCGTGGGGGGCGTGCAGGAGGCAGCCCATGGATGTTTCTCTCTCACATCGATGTTTCCATCTCTCTCTCCCTTCCTCTTCCCTAAAAAATCAATTAAAATTTTTTTTAAATATAATAATAATAATAATAGCCCTGGCCGGTTTGGCTCAGTGCTTAGAGCGTTGGCCCGCAGACCAGAGAAATGGGGGTTTGGTTCCTGCTAAGGGCACGTACCTGGGCTGCAGTTTGTCCTCAGCCACAGTTGGGTTGTGTGGGTAGCAACCAGTCAATGTGTCTCTCTCGCATAGATGTTTCTCTCTGTCTCTTTCTCCCTCTCTCCCTCCCATTCCATCTGAAGATGAATAAAAAAAATTTTTAAAAAAAGTCCTCAGGTGAGGATAAAAAATAAAAAATAATAATACTATTTTTCATGCTTAGCGAGAACCCTGCAGAGAGAAAGGGGGGTGGTTGGCGCTCACCTCGCCTGCGAGGATCCTGCCAACTTCTGTCCATGTTGGTCTTATCCAACCTCCACCCTGCAATGTGGCCAGTGACTGAGTGTCCCTACAATCCTTGGGAGGCTCTCATACATCTGTACTGATGGCGGCTCTTTCTCTTAGAAGTACCCTTCCCAGCAAATCTGTTCCTCACACAGAATAGCCCCCAGCGTCCTGTCAGCTGTCCTCAGCAAGGCCGGGTGTGGGAAGCAGCCCACAGGGCACTTCTGAAGGTCTGGTTGGCTCCGACTTAGGTCATCTACTATAGTTCACTTGGGAGGGTCCCTTGAGTGAGTCATTTGGAAACAGGACTTTCACTCAGTCATTCAACAGACAACTACTGACGCCCGGCTCTATGCAGAGAGCGCTCGGGTTCCGAGGACACACGCGTGGACAGAGCCGTCCCTGCACCCAGAGGCAGGGCAGAAGGCAGGCAATGAGCACCGAAACAAGGTAAGTTCAGACAGTGATAACTGCCATGCAGACAATCCATCCGCGGGAAGGGCTGGGAGTCACCAAGAGGTGTGGCGAGAATAACTGAACGGTTGAGGAGACGCCGGACCCGAGACAGGGATGAGAACCAGCCAGGGGAAGACCGTGGGTAGGCTGTTTCTTCCGGGGGGACAGGGCCCCGAGGCTGGATGACTCGGTGTGGGTGAGGACAGAGTCCCTGGCGCACAGGGAGCAAGGGTGAAGGCGTAACACGGGCCTGGAACAGCCGGTGGAGACCGGACCGTACGCGAGCTTTCAGGGACGTTAACCTAGTCCACCTGCAGTGGGCAGCCCCGAGGGCTGCAGTCCGGCGGTGACGTTGTGTGAGCCGTGGTTTGAAAGCTCGCCCTGGCTGCAGTGGGAGAGCGGAGAGGGCTTAGCTGAGAGGGAGCCGGCCCTTGAGGCTGGTGGTGAGACGGGCTGTCATCGTGTACCGGGCTGGAAGGGTCAAGGCCTGGCTAGCGGATGAAATACGGGGGACACGGGAGAAAGAGAGGAGGCAGGGAACGGTGACCACCTCAACTGGTGCAGAAAATCAGATCTCCGTTCTTTCTCGGTCGAGTCTGATGCTGCCGTGTGCTAGGCGATGAGGTGGACATGTTTGATACGGGTCCAAAGCTCAGGGAAGAAGCAGGGATGAAAATGTAAAACTGGGGCTCATTAGCCAGTTTATCCGATAGATTCCAAGGTCAGACCACACCGATCCTAACTTCTTGTAGCCTCCTACGGTTTATGGTTCTCAGAGCAGAATTAGATTCTTGTTAGAGATTCTCTCTCTCATCCCAAATGATGACAGTAATTGCTACTTTTTGGGTTTCCGACCAGACTGCCCTTATCCTTGGGGATGGCTGACAGCTCCCCTCCAAGCACTCAGCTTCCCCAGACTCCTGGCACCGGTCACCGCCCGCGGCTGCCCCGTCATTCTCACCCCCAAGACCCAGCTGGTGGTTCGCCTTCTCCGAGAGCCTTCGGAGACCCACTGCCCTCTCCGGCGATCATTTCATTTTGTTCACCTGTCATAGACAGCCAAGCTCCGAAATGTGAGTAGTCTGGATTCTAAATGTTTCTTTGAATTCATTTTTTAGAGCATCAAACATGCGTTCACACAGAAAACAGAAAAGGTTACAAATTATAGTTCTTATCTGACTACATGTGCCCACAGCACCCCGTGGAACCACGGGAAAGCGCTCCGGGGAACCCAGGACCCACTGCAGGGTGAGCCTGGAGCTTCTGCTGCAAGGGGGCGGGTCCGGGGGCGGGTCCGGGGGCGGGTTCCTGGGGCTCAGCTGATTTCCCTGGTTACCACAGGAAACTGGAGCCAGCAACGGGGGTCTTCAGTTCCACACCGTGAAGGTGGTTGTCTATCAATGTTTCACGGTGCAGAGATGTAACCATCACACAGCATTAAGAAAAACTCAGGGCACTTTGGGGAAAAAAGGGAAGATGCTAAACGCACTAGAGAAAGGCACCTCCCTAACGTCTGAATGAAGGGATGCTCGAGAGGACCCTTCTCACAAGAGGACGGGGAGGCTGAAGTAGAATGAAACCTGTGGACACAGCCTTGACGAAGGAGAACGTTGAGGATACAGTTCTAACATCTCAGAAGGGCCCAGGGGCAGCATCAGCTGCTTGAACATCTGCACATCTCAATACGAGCTTACAGAAAAAGAAATGGAGATAAGTCTATCCGTCTGTCTTCTATTAAATGGTCAAAGCCGGCACTATGAATTTGCTGGAGAATATGGAGAAGAAAATGTTCTATCCAGGTTTTCAGAAAGTAGCATCATGCCATCAATGATCAATCTGGGAGTATCAACTTCAAAGAAAAATCCTTCATTTAAAACTATGTGAGGCCCCCTCGTCAATAATATAGTCATAAACCAACACGAACAAGCACTTGCAATCAAATATTAAACATATGTAGTGTTTTGTATTGAAATCACAAAGAAGAGAACGTTCTTACCAGTTGCCTTTTGGGTTGGTAAACTGCTGCACAGCATAACCAAACTGTTCCTTCGAAGGACCAGAAAATATCTTAGCTTCCGGGAGACCCACATTGTACGCCACACAGCAACTCAACAAGCCTAGTGAAACAACAAAATCAGGGTCCATGTTTACAATGCACGAATATACATTTATAATATAATTATCATTTTCTCATTTCTTTTTCCTTTATTGATTTTAGAGAGAGAGGAAGGGAGAGGAGAGAGAGATAGAAACATCGATGAGAGAGAACATCCATTGGCCACCTCCTGCCTGCCCCCCACTGGGGATCGGGCCCACAACCTGGGCATGTGCCCTGACCGGGAATCAAACTGGCGACCTCTTGGTGCAGGGTCGACACTCACCCATTGAGCCACACTGGTCAGGCTGTAATATAATTCTTAAAGGCCACTTTATTTATTTATTTTTTATCCTCACCCGAGGACATTTTTCCATTTTTTGTTCAGATAGAGTGGGAGGGAGAGAGAGGAAGAGAGAGAGAGAAACATCGATGTGAAGGGACACATCGAGTGGCTGCCACCCGCACGACCAACCAGGGCCGGGGACAAACTGCAACTGAGGTACATGCCCTTAGCGGGAACCGAACCCGGGTCTCTCTGTACCGCAGGCCGACGCTCCAACCGCTGAGCCAAACCGGCCAGGGCTTAAAGGCCACTTTAAAAACAATGTGCTTGTTCTTTCTGAAAACAAACAGGACATACAAATGGCCAAGAGACATATGAAGAAATGCTCAACATCACTAATCATCAGAGAGATGCAAATTAAAACAACAATGAGGTATCACCTCACACCTGTCAGAATGGCCACCATCAACAAATCATCAAACAAGTGTTGGCGAGGGTGTGGAGAAAAGGGGACTCTAGCACACTGCTGGTGGGAATGCAGACTGGTGCAGCCGCTATGGAAAACAATATGGTGCTACCTCAAAAAATTAAAAATTGAACTTCCATTTGACCCAGTGATCCCACTGCTGGGAGTATACCCTAAGAAGCCTGAAACACCAATCAGGAAGAATATATGTACCCCCATGTTCATAGCAGCACTATTTACAATAGCTAAGATCTGGAAACAGCCCAAGTGTCCATCAGTAGACAAATGGATCAAAAAGCTGTGGTACATATACACAATGGAGTACTATGCAGCGGTAAGAAAGAAAGATCTCTTATCCTTTGAGACGACATGGAGGGACATGGAAAGTATTATCCTAAGTGAAAGAAGCCAAGCAGAAAAAGACAAATACCACATGATCTCACTTATATATGGAATATAATGAACATAACAGTCTGAGGAATACAGTAGACCCAGACACATGGAAGTAGGGCACAGACTGACATCCCTCAGAAGAGGGGATGGGGGGTGGGGGGTGGGAAGAGATAAACCACAGAACTTATATGCATGTATGCATGACCAATGGACATGGACAACTAAGCCGGGGAAAGGGTGGAGGGGGGGTGGGGTGGGGGTGCCAATGGGGTAAAAAGGTAAAATATCTGTAACAAAAAAATAAATAAATAAAAAAATTCATAAAAAAAAACACACACAAAAAAACAATGTGCTTGACATAATTTTTCTCCTTATCACTTTACTGAGAAACAGTAGCTACCGCTCTATAGGTAATTATCTGGGGCGCTGGCACCTTGCTCAGTACCTCGCATGCGTGATGCATCCGCTCACACATCCTCACAAGCAGCGCTAAGAGATGGTGCTGATATCATCACTGCTTCAGAGATCTCGGAGGTTCCCTGAGACAGCGTGTCTCGCGGGTGCAAAGTGATGAGGGTGAGAACAGGGTTTGAGCACAGGGCTGTCTGACTCAAGAGCTTCAACTCTCCACACATCACCTCCAGGGACTCTAAAGCAGCTTCAGAAAGAGACTGCAAGCCACCCAGGACAGGGTCCGCAGACCAGCTCCTATTTCTGCTGAATCTCCGAGGAGGTCCTGACACGGATGCTTACGAAATTCTATTGAAAACACAGCTGACTGCATCCGAGGGGGTAGAAAAGTCAGCGCCTGGACAGGTGTCTCCTCCTTTCAGGAGGGGCCTTGTGAGGATAAACAGGGAGGGAAGGTGTCATTTCTCTGATTCTGGTGGGAACTGTCAAGGTGCTTTGCTCATGGAGACTTCCTTCTGAAGCTCAAGAAAAGATCATTGTTTTAAAAAACAACAAAGACCAGGAAGGCTGAAGCCTTGGTAGACGGATTTGAAAACACCTTGTTTCTAATGGAAAGGGAAGGAGGGGAAAACAATCCAGGTGATTCCAGCTCCTGCTTTGCACCCAGACCAGTAATGCAGTCTGCCCTGCCCCCTGCCCTTCCCCCCGCCCTTCCCCCACCCTTCCCCCTGCCCACATCGGGAAGAAGAGGGAGCCTGGATGTTGATGCTCTGCCACCATGGCACCCTGCTCCCTGCGGGGTGAGAGCAGGTTTACGTCTGCAGGCCCCAAAGGCAGAGTGAACGCCTTAAAACCGATGTCGTGGCTCCTTTAATACATGTTTTCACAAAGGAACAGGCCCCTTCCGGGCCACACTGAGTGTGCCGTAGTTCCCAGGCCTGTCCCTTTGGGCACGGACAGGACGGAGGGCAAGGCTGGCCATCCCTGCGCCTGCGGTCTCAGAGCAGACTCAGTCCAGGGTTCCAGGAAGAGCGCCCCCGCTCAGGACGCTCCGGGGACCGAAAGTTACCTGGCTAGGTGCCCACACCTCTCTACCCTGGGCCTGTGCCCTCTGGAGGGGGCAGCTCATTCTTATTCGGACACACGGTGCCAGGGACAGAAGAAGAGAAAATGCCTTGAGCTGGTCTTTAGCACCGGGTCTACCTCTGCAGTCTCTCCTTGGCACCTCTTGTTCCGGGGGCCACCGCCCACTGGACTTTCCAGGAAAGAAAATAAAGGAGCAGATTCGGTTGAGAACTTACGTTCAGAAAGCGGGCGTTTCCCATCACAGCTTCGCGTCCCCCCATTGTGCAAACTCAGAAATGCCGCTGAAATGTGTTACCAGTGATCTGACGTTCGGTACAAGCTTGGGGAGGTGATGTCAAAGCGCTCCCCCACTTTTAAAATAGCGAGGGCTGGAAAGACCCTGTAGGACTGTGTGTGCAATGACCTCATTACCCCCGTTAATTAGACCCTGGCAGATCGTGTAATGACGTGACATCATGATGGAGCTCATTTTATCACGTAGCAGTTACATTTTATTATGTATATAACGCCCGCAGGGTGAGCGCAGCGTGTCACCGCTTGGAGGCCGTGGAGCACGGGTCCCCGGGGCCTGCTGGGCGCCGGCCTCAGGAGCTGCAGGGCATTGGCAGGAGGAGGGACCCAGCACGTGCGCGGGCATGCCCGGCGGAGAAGGCTCAGCAGGCACCGCGACCCAGGGGAACACTTCAGGGGACAGCAGAGTCCCAGGGACCCAAGAGAAACGCTCTCCCTAAACCAGGCATTGGAGAGACAAGTTATGATCCATCTGTCCTGGGGCAGGAATGTCCCTCCATCTGTGGGTCTAGGAACCTAGAAAACAAGTTATCTGCTCCCCAAATACGGCGGGGTGACAGGCATGCCGTAGACATTTCTGTTTCAAAAGGGAGACAGGAGAAGGAAGAAGGGTTCTCGGTACCAAGGAGGCTGGACAGGGCAGGGCAGGCTCCCCTAGGTCGCTAGGCCTCCGGCGTCCTCTGTGGCTCGGGGCTCTGTCCCAGAGGCTGCAGCAGCTCGGCTGTCCTGCATCTCGGCCGTTGGTCCCAGGTGGAGCGTGTCTGCTGAGAGGACGTTCCTCAAAGCCTGCAGGGCTCCAGGGGCGTCGTGGGAGCCACGCCAGGGCGGAGGGCGCCGCTCCTGCTGCCTCTGCGGATGCGGGAGAGGACCTGGGGTCCCCCGCCCAGCCCCTTCGGGGCACGTTTAACTGTTTCATTAGCTTTCTTTATTTTTGCTTGCCGAGGGTCTCTCAAATCGTTAACTACTGTCCTGGTGTCTCGTTCCTCTCGCACTTCATCGCATTCAGCAGGGGGACACTGGGCCCCCCTGCACGGATGCTTGGAAATCCCTCCGCCGAGTGTCAGGTCCTGGCTGGGAAGTGCGCTTTCCACGCAGCCTGGGACACGCGAGAACAGGGTCGCCTTCCCTCCGGTTCCCAGGCACAGGCCTCCGTGATTCTGGGCTCTCCCCGAAGGGCTTCGACATTGAGGTGCCCCCCCCCCCAGGGTCCGAGGCAGGCTTCAAAGGCCCTCTATCCCAATAAGCGAATAGTCACAGATTGGGGGGACTAGGACTAGAAAGATCTTTTGGGGGGCGCACCATTCAACTCAATACAATGGGTATAAAAGAATGTACGGTCCTGACAACTGTTTGGCTGGGCTCTAAAAAATGAATTCAAAGAAACGTGTTCACACAGAAAACAGAAAAGGTTACAAATTATAGTCCTTATCTGACTACATGTGTCCACAGCACGGGAACCACGGGAAAGCGCTCCGGGGAACCCAGGACCCGCTGCAGGGTGAGCCTGGAGCTTCTGCTGCGAGGGGGCGGGTCCGGGGGCGGGTTCCGGGGGCTCAGCTGATTTCCCTGGTTACCACAGGAAACTGGAGCCAGCAACGGGGGTGTTCGGTTCCACACCATGAAGGTGGTTGTCTATCAACGTTTCACGGTGCAGAGATGTAACCATCACACAGCATTAAGAAAAACTCAGGGCACTTGGGGGAAAAAAGGGAAGATGCTAAACGCACTAGAGAAAGGCACCTCTCTAACGCCTGAATGAAGGGATGCTCGGAGGACCCTTCTCACAAGAGGACGGGGAGGCAGCCAGCAGCCTGCGGGAGGGCGCAGGGGCTCCCCGGGACAAAGAGCAGGCCCACCTGCTAGCTGGAAACCAGCCGGCTCACCCGCTCCGTGTCCCCCCTGCAATGCTCCCGCTGCGGGTGCCCCGTCCTTCGGACCCCCTCGCGTAACCCCGTGAGACCTCAGGGGAGCCAGCCTCTGCTCACAGCGCTGCTGCTGAGTAATGATGTCCTTTGTCTCCGACGCAGGACCCTCCTGCCGCGTCAGCATCCCCGGCAGTGACAGGCTCATGCATGGGCTTGTACACCGA